ATTATCCAGATAAATTGAACGCACGGTACATAACCTGCAATGTGCATCAACAATCAGTAAGAAAAACTAGTATTTTTCAAATAAACAAGGGATCAAGTCAAGTCAGTTCAAGTATAAGAATAAAAAAAACATAACTATTCAATACCATCGAAATCGTCTATATGCAACTTTCCCCGAATTCGAGCTGCCCTTGTCGATTCCGAGGGCATAATGGTAACAATCGAATTCGATACACCCTGTTAATTCCATTTACATAATTATGTAATTAAAAGCGGTAGCCGAAAATTACAAGATTTCTTTCTAAATATGTCGGTTCCATTCCCAACAATATTCAACAATATATCACTCGGATTTCATAATTTTACCCGGTGCGGGTAACACGGTGCGTAATAAGGGTTGATTATATTCAAGTACAACAATAAGGGTATCTAGATTAACGGAACGTTTTTTTACCAATAAAAGTCGCCGGTATCAGATTGAACCAGTATTATTAACGGTAATTTATCAAATCGCCTTTGATTTTTCACAGTTCACTTGTCGTCTAATAGCGGGATTAATTGGACCTAATCACAGTTATATGGTCTTAATCTAGATTTGGGTTAAGCCCGAATTGCCTAAATTAATGCTCGCATGCATGGAGCCTGGTAGATAACTGCTGACCGTCTTTGTGTGGCGTATTGAGCCAACAAACCGAAACTCACATAATTTTTAAACAACAGTCTTCCATCAAATTCCGTGAATTCTGCTACATCTACAGGATAGGGAAAAAGAAAAGAAACACTCTCATATGCCCCTTCGAAAGAGAATTGAAAGATCTATTTTCCAAATACTCACTCACAAGGTGGATCCCGGATGAGTAGCTTAAAAACTGAATACGAAAATTGTTTTAAGTTTCGAATAAATTACTGCTCATGCATAGCGACCAGTTGGTGACATAGAGTTAACTCTAATTAAGTAACGATAATCTTACGAAGATTGAATGTAACTGACTTAATTACCATTTATAAATATAAAATACATTTGTAGCACGTGAGTAGTAATAAATAAGCATTAAAACATTAGTTACATTAATGTTAAGAATTGAATAATACTAAAAAAAAATTGTAATGCTACATTTCATTACGGCTACTTGATATCCGTTAAATATATGTATACCTGCTAATGTTATAATTTTACTACTGATCTAGTCACTAAAATTAAAAAACACTTAAAATCGTGTCTTGTATATCTTTCTTACGTAACATTATGGTAATTAACGACTGATATTTTCTAGTATTTTGCTTGTTTCCTTTCCCTAAAAACACATTTACAGTAAGTACCTACCTATTAACATTAAAGCAGCAATGAAATTTTTGTTAGTATTTTTGAGAAAATTTTAATTTTTAAATAGCTTTTGCCACACCAAATTAACACTGCTATAGGTACTATCAAAACCAATCAAATTATCTAACCCAAGTAAACCAAGCAACTAACCCATAAATAAAATAGATTTGACTACTCAATTTGTTACAGTTTGACAAAATATTGCATGGTTACTCATGCGCGACAAGTCAACGCTAATTAACTTTGATGCGGTTCACTTTATTAAACGTTATGCGTTTAATATTTATTAACAATGCCAAAGCAAAACGCATTAAATTTTTTTATAGAGTTAATGTTACGGATAATGAAATTGCAGCCAGTCAACCTACTAAATAAAATTTTAATAAGTAAGAAATATAATATTCCAAGATTTTAATATGAACAATGCAAATAAATTATTCTTAATTATGATTTATAATCAAAATCCACAATTGACTCAACAATCAATTCATTTTTCAGTAACGAATTTTGTTTTGTTTTTCATTAGTGTTGTCCTGCCTTTCCAATTTACATAATTTTTGATAGCTTAAAGGTGCAGATAAAAATAAAATCGTAGGTACTATGAAACAGCTTTAGTCAAACAGTTTTTAAGGAAAATTAGTTTTAAATGGTAATAAATATGCATAAACAACGCGAAATGTTAAAAAAAAACTGATAAAAAGACACCGAACGAAACCAAAATCTGTTTTTACCATATCTGTATTCAAACCTAAGTGTGCTTTTTGGTGTGGAGCTCAAAATGGAACCTTCCCTATACCGTATTGTTACAATATTATTTCTGCCGAGAAAACCGAATTAAAAGCATCGAAAGCAATGTTAACAATACGTGAGCAAAGAGTTGTGAAAAAAAAGATTTCGTAATAGTAATAGTTGAGACACAACCACAAGCAATGACATGAATTAATACCACTAAATCAACTATTCGCACAAGAACATTAAAAATTATACCTGCTTTGATCGCCTTTGACAAAATATTGTACGGTCACCCAAGTGTGACAAGAAAACTCTAATTAATTTTGATGCGGCTAATCTGCAGCTCACTTTGATCGATCACCAATTATGCTTAACCTCTAAAATAGGCAACACCTAATTACCGACGAAACCGACAAAACAAATATAAATATTAATTAATTAAAATTGCCGAACGTATCTTGCCTTCCAACTCGCATGTGTCTTTCACACCGTTATAAATGTATACATATAACGCCATCAGATGACATGCCGTGTCGTTTAAAGGGTGCAAGATATTGGGTCGGATAGGTCAACTAAAATAAACGCTAGGTATAGCAAAGGTAAATTATCAGAAATGGGTTTCATAAAATTGTAATTTAAAATTATTCACAAAGGTTTTTTGGCACTCCATTCGCGAATAAGAAACCGCTTAAGCGTGGGGGGCGCTGATGTCATTAGAACGTGTTGCGGAATGTAGTCTACGAAGAAGGAAATCTGAGATCAAAAGACCTCGATAACACCTATAAAGGTATAACTGCCGTTTAAAAAAAATATAAACAACCAAATTGCCATAACATGAAAGTACAAATTTTCCATCAAATGAAAAAAATAAGTTGTAACATAAGTTCTACTTTATATTGCTCGATGAGGTGATCCAGCAACACACATTCCCAAACAACTTTACGAAATTAATTAAAAGCTAATGAGATCCATGGTATACCTACCTATGGGTTGTCTAACTGAAACGGTATTCTCTCCTTCTCAGTTGAAGCAATGCCGGTGACCATACACAGATACCTGTGTTTGCCTCGAGGTTACGAACCCATAACTCAAGTATGTTGAAGATCTTATACACACCTAAGTTAAAAAAAAAGGCAACGTAGCCAAAAGATTCTCGGAACCGAGATGGGTCTAATATTTGTCTTTTTTGTATTGTTTATTCGATTGGATTCTTGGGGCACTCGAATGTTTTGGTGGTAGGGGACCGCAAGTTGTTAATTTTCCTTAAAATGAAATGCTATAAATATAGCTATTTATTAAAAATAATATAATAGTTTTTTAGGAAACGCAATGTTTACTAGGACTTCCACGTATATTAATCTAAGCAGAGTGACAAGTTTCATTGACACTGTAACCTTTTCAACTAACATAATTGACCTATATAGACATACATAAAATTTTATCATCAGATAAATCAGATTTTGAGAATATGGGTTATTCTATTTTAATCGTGATTTTTTATGTGTTGCATTGTTTGTTCTTATTTGTGATTAATTTAATTTTTGTATTAATTAGACAGAAGCTACAATATATCATAAATTTTTATTTCTATTTTGGAACTAAAAAAATTGACACATTTTTGGTAAATGTTTTTACTTAACATTGAATTCGTGTTCAACAACTTTTGCCTTTCTCAAATTTATTTTGTCAGTACCGTGGCTATTGTGGAACAAAAATTTGGAATTTATTTCTTGTGCTAAAATCGATGAATTAATTATATGCATAAAATTTAAATTAATTTAATTAAATTAATTTAAAATTTTAAATAAAAAAGTAACAGTGAGTGGGTGAAAAAATCTGCATCCTGCCAACCTACTAAATGAAGTAAATTAAGTGAAAAATATAATATTGCAAAATTTTATTATATAATAATTAACAAAACTTTAGTGTTAAACAACGCAGAAGAGAAATTATAATGTAATTATGGAGTTAATTATCATTAATTATGATTTATCACCACGATTCACAATTCACTTAACAATCAACTAATTTTTCCGCAAAAAGTTTTGTTTTGTATTTTGTATGCTTTTTGGTTTATATAATTAATACTATGGAACACATATTAATTTACTGCCCTTCATAAACAGCTTTTATCGCACTTTGAATAGAAGTTGTTTCAGTTCAAGTTTAGTAAACAATTTTTAAAGAGAAATTAATTTTTGTTCGTAATAGACATGCATATAAAAACACGATCTGAGTGAAAAGGCAAATTAAAAAAAATTAAGCGAAACTTAATCTATTCTTACTATACTTTTTAGTGGCTTGTTGTACTCAAAACGGAAGGTTCCTTATTTTCCGAATTATTTTCTATTGTTAAAATTTAAACGATGTTTTCCACGTAGCACCTGTCTAGAAAACCAAGTTAAGAATTAAAAAAATAACGCCTGCCAAATGTCAACGATATGTGGCCAAAACTTTGTGAATTCGGAATTGAAATCTCCGTCTAAAATAAGGAAAATGTACAGAAGTTTGTGCATAACAAAAACTGGATGGCGGTGTTTCTTTGACATTCGGCAGATATTAAGTTGTCGACTCGGCTCTTCTGCAAAGTTATATAGAAAACCTTCGCAAGGCTCCAATAGCTGAGAATGCATTTTACTTTAAACAATAACAGATAGGCGAAATATTTCGTTATGTAGTTCCATATTTAATTTCAAGAGGTGAGCATATCTATATTTATTATCCATTTAAGTAGTAAAAATCACGAAAATGCCTATTTAGATGCACCGAAATTAAGTGGAAAATGGATTGAACGTTATTAAGAGGAAACAGTTGAACCCAAAAACTTTTCAAAATCCATTTATCAATCTATTCAGTCATTTCGGTCACACAATTCTTTTGGAACGAGAAGAGCAGTAATAAAACAAATCTTGAATAATTTATAAACAGTCTTACTTTATTTTTATTTTTGGACATTCATAAAAATACAATATACACAAAGATAGTATCTTTTCTATTATAATATATAACAATATTTTATACATTTACACAAAATAAAAAATAAATTATAGCTTTAGATTTTTTTCTATATTTTCCACGGTTTAAAAGTTAAAAAAGAAACAACATTATATCACTATCGATTTAACTAAAAGGATTTTAAAGTAAATTTAAACTTGAAACAACTGTTTGAAAAACAGGTTTTTAAACGGGCCTCACAGCGGAATACCAACTTCAGAAATACCTAACTGAGGTCGCCGGTCAGTTTTTCTGTCCTTTTTTTCTTAATTCGTGGACCGAGAATGCAGTTAAGAGTTTGTTCAATTAAAATCTTATAATTTTAGAGAAATTTGTGGATTTTTCTCATATGGCAACGGGTTTTAACGTAAATTCTCGCGAACGCGGCGGCAAATCCTTCTAAAATTATAACATTAAGTTAAACAAAGATACGTATTTGATACAAGAAAACAAATCATTGCACATAAATTAACAAAAATTAGTAAACTTTCTGGCGTTTTTCGTGGGCAAACAAAAATCCGTAACGCTCCTCGAGCGGAAATCATAAAACCTAGATAATTTTCGATACAACAATATAATTTTCGTAATAAGTACAAGAAGAAAGATTACCTATAAAACAACCAATAATAACGAATGTGAGCCTTGGAAAGTAGAAATTTTAGCGTGGATGTCGTGTACACTCGTTGCAATTTGAGAATTTAAGGTCGTGATTCTCTTTTCCTGCATTTTCGTGATGACGGGCAAAATCTGATGGTACGTCTGTTACACGGTGGTCGCTTTAAAAACCGCAGGTGTATAATTTTTGCCCGGATTATTAAAGAACAACCCGGCCAGATGGCTCGCCGAACTGAGGGGAGAACCACGACCCATAGCAACGTAGAACCTCGATTAAATGACTAGAAATAATCGTCAATCTTGACAGGTTTTCAATGTGAGACAGTATGACTACTATAAACGTTGACTGCGTATCAGTCGTACCGTACAGTACTTACTATACGATTAGTGGGTGCGTATAATTTATCCAAAAATAAAAAGTCAAGGATCAACCGTACGACATTTCTAACCAAAAATAATAACAACGCAAGAACAACTTTTGTAATAGTTTTTTTTTTTAAATATATGCGACATTCTATACATTATAAACTTACAGTATACAGTGTCAACCGTCCCAGTGTCTTAAAATTCTAAGTATAAATCACGACTTGATCCGCTTGGAATGCGAAGACGATTCCTCTTTTACGCAGGGCGAGTCGACTGCGCAAAGTAAATTTACGCTTAAACGATGGAATTTGAAAACGCGCGGTATATACTGGGGAATTTTGCGTCGAAAATAGGTTGCATATCTTGTCCCATACTTATTGCGTAACGAAGATTTAAAGTAACCGCCATAATATTCTGTCTTACAGATATAATGGAGCGGTCTTCCAGCAGTCGTCCGATTTGTAATACAATAATTTTGAAAATGTCGGTATAGCGTATTTTATCTCCACGTATTAATATTTATAAAATGCTAAAGTATTAAAATTAAACCAAATTACGTCCCTTTTTATTATAATTTCTCATATCAGTAATAAAATTCTTAATTTCGCGTTTGAATAATTTAATTATTTTAATTATTTGTGGCACATTTTCGTAAGTTCGTGTCTAATTTTTTGTAATTTTTATATAAATGGCGGACGCGCACGGGATTGTTGTTTACAAAATCGATTATCTAGAGGGCGCTTTCAACTTAATCTTTGACCGATATTTGTTGCAAAAATTATTCGTCCAACTGGGTACCAAAGGGAGAGTCTCAATCAAATTTTAAAAGATAATCTTCACGTAGTGAAATGCACCATTTGATAAAAGAATGAATCGATCGAAAGACAAGAACATGATTATAGACAATACGTATTCAGTCACTACAACAAACGGAATTCAAATTATTTAAATTTAAACATTTTCAAAAATAGTCGAGTTTGGAAGAAAAATTGGGAGACAAAACATAAAAGCTGAAGCCCCACTGGATTTGCAAATATTAACTCAAATATTCTCTATCACCACGCACTCCAACACAAATGGAAATGGTATAAAAATAATGGGTATTTCGTCCCTCATCCCTTCAACGCATTCGGTAGTGTTTAGAGCTTATGATTTCGATTCAGCGCCCAGTATATACATTTCCGAATAATTCATCAAATTCTACCCGCTAAACGTAAATGAACCATTCAACTCACCCTGCATATCGTCTAGGAATTATGTTACAGGGCCGACGGGCGGCATCTATCACTCTTATTTACAAGAATGTACAGTCTAAGGTACTAACTATACTCACTCGCACTTCAGTTTAAATCGCAAAATGTCCACTTGGACCCCCGCAACGGCCGGAGGGCTGACGAACAGTCCTTTGAGGTAGCGGATGAGGCCGAAACGCGACCGCGGAGGAATATCACTAGCCGTTGTCGCTGTGGTGCAGCAGGGAGGAGGCCCAGTGGGCCACGTGCTAGTGGGCCGTCAATTGGTGGCCCATGCCCTGGGGGGATAACATCGGGGGACTATGCGAGTGGGAATGCTGGCCCATGGGCGAGCCGTGCATGTCCGGGTGGTGACCGTAGCCGGGGTGCATGTGACCCGGCGGCATACCCTCCATCATTTCGTTTCCTAACGTGTTCGGCGGCGTCATTCGTTTTTCCTTTTGCCGCCGATTGCAGAACCACACCCGAACCACTTCTTTCTCTAATTGTAAACTGTCCGCTAGCGACGTGATCTCTTGAGCAGATGGTTTCGGTTGTTTGTGGAAATGTTGCTCTAAGGCCCCCTTCACTGAAACTTCTATACTCGTGCGCTTTTTCCTTTTCCTGCCCTGGGCCGCTATTTTATCGATGGACGTGGGCGAGCCCGTCGTCGAGTCCGCTTCTTCGAGCCATTTTTGCAGCAGCGGTTTTAACTTGCACATGTTTTTAAAGCTTAACTGTAACGCTTCGAACCTACAGATTGTTGTTTGCGAGAAAACGTTGCCGTATAATGTACCTAACGCTAATCCCACGTCCGCCTGCGTAAACCCCAATTTTATCCGTCTCTGTTTAAACTGTTTGGCGAACGCCTCCAGGTCGTCGCTCGTCGGAGTCTCATCTTCACCACCACTAACATCCCTATCCGGGTGCTGCGGGTGGTGCGGACTCTGCATATCTCTATGCGAAAGTGGGTGGTGTAATTGGGGCGCGCCTTGGTGGTGCGCCAGCATCCCGTTCATTACCGCCGAATGGTACTGATGCAATGGAGAACCCGCACCGCCGGGGTTGTAATGTGCAGACGTGACGGGTCCGTGCCAACCGTGAGGGGAACCCATGCTTTGCTGCTGTTGCCTCTGGTGGTGCATCATGTCCGCTTGTTGAGCCAAAGGTTTAACGTCCTGATGCGGGTGGTGATGGTGCGCGTGCATACCCGCCATTGAGGCGGCCCAGGGATCGCCGCCGGGTTGCAGGCTAACCCAGGGGTTGGCGGCCGACAGGGACATAGCCGCGTGGCCACCAGGCGACGGCGAACTAGCCATATGGTGGTGGTGATTGTGATGCTGGGGCAGGTACTTCATTTCGCTGGCGTCCGCCGCCGATCTGGGCGACGCACTTGTATGGTATCCACCGACGATGTTCATTCCTACGACGCTGCCCTCCAAATCTGCTGTAACCGCACTACTCACCGGCAGGTACGTGGTGGCCGCCATGCCCTGCAAGGGCCGCCCAACCGCCGAATCGACACTATTTTCGTGTTCGTACACTTTTGCACCAAATCGAAACACAGTTTTCTCGAAAATCACAGCGTTGCCACACGAAAATTACGATTCTCGCTTTCTACTCGGCCGCCGCGAGGTGTCATAGAGCTTGATGATCTTTCCAAGCAATCAACAAAACAACACTAATACGTCACGCATGACAGTCTGCACACGCGGCGACTCTGATTGTACTACTGACTGAACGCGGGGATTCTTGGAGTTCGGAATCCTCGGCGCCTGCCCCACCACCATGTCCCCTCCGCGTTTGTCGGAAGTGGTGCGCGCGCCATTGAGGGCGCCTCACTCGTTGCCGTCGCGTGACGTCACTCGTTCAAGCCCAGCCACTGGCTGGACGTCTTTGGTCGCCGCCCGCGGAATACCCCCTCCCTGGCGGGGAAGTGTTTACAGTTGGCAGGACACGGTAGCTAGGCAACAGAGCGTGCAGGGCTCACATACGACGGTGGACACGGGCAGACGGTGACCAAGCGCTAATCTTTTCCAAAGCTTACGGTTCAGATAAGCAAAGAAAAAATACATATTCCCTGATTGTTGTTACACGAGAAATGGTCAACTGGGTTTGACGCGTACCGCGCGGTTATTTGCCCGAAACACCGGAAACTAATGTTAATCCACCCCTACGAAACGCGCGACATTTAACGTATCGTGAAATAGTGAAATATTTTTTTTTAGAAGATTGGAAGTAGTTTCAACTGGGACAAAAATATATTCTCTTTTTTCCTTATTTGCATTTCCTTCAATATCGGGCGCTGAACCAAATTCCATTAATAATTTAGTTAAATGCCAACTTTTCAGTTATATGTTAACCACACTTTTTAATATAAAAGTGGTACCTATTTCTTGCAAAAGGTATTTGCTTGTTTTAAGTATCTTTTACATTTTTGCAATTTTTAGCCACAGAATGGAAAGCAGTATAAGAGTGAAGAATCTAAATAAAATTATCTGTTGATATGTATATGTTATCGATTGACTCAAATAGATATCTAGAATAACTTTATAAAGAAGCCAGTTTTGAATATAAATAAAAGCAGAAAACAATGATATAAAATTATCCCTATAAGTGACCATAGTTTTGGGACAGCATGTATATAACAGTCATTTTAAATGAGATTTTATAAGTTTTGACTATCAAAAATGGTACCGATATTTCGCCAAGTTCATTTGATGCTTAATTCCTATTAGTAAGAAATGTTTGTTTTCAAAACACGAAGGTTTAGTATTTACATAGGCGTATAAGAAGTTATTAGGTACCTGATATTAAGCAAGCCCACTTCGACACAGTTCGAACCACTTGCCTTAAAAAATAATTTCAATTTATCCGACATATTTAACAAAAAACAACCGCATGCCGCGGGGGTCAACATTTCAACGGGGCGAAACTGCGTTCGTCGATCATTCGCCACATTGCCGCTATACGTTTTCGGGACATACATATGTATAAGGCAAAGTGAGCCAGAGAGAGAGTGCTAATGCCCTATTGTATTGCAAATTCCATGTTAATTTCCACTGTGTGCCACAAGCCAACTATGATTTGTGCTGGCGACGGTCTATGGATACGACCGGCAACAGGTGAGTTCGGGATTGTGTGTTTGTGTTATTTTTTTGTCAGGGGCCTAAACTATAGATATACGATATTAATGTTAATGGATTTACATAGGAAGAGTGATTGATTGAAATTTAAAATGAAAATTCATTCGGTTTGGTATTGCAAAAGAACATGAAAATAAAACATATTTTTTAAGTCTATCTGCATTTTATTCCTGAAACTGATACTTTTTCAATACAAAAAATTGTTATCTAGTTTTTGTCTGATTGCTTAGAAAAACATATGTCCAGGACGTCCATAGGTTAGAGGAACATTAGATACTAGAGTTCAAGAGGATAGGCTAATTTATTTGCAATTCACATTCATGTATTAGCAGCTCTTGTATGACCTTTTTACGTTCATAATTATATAAAATAATCTTTATTGTTTTACGTACCCCGTAACAATAATGATACTTAACATCGAATTCCAGACATTGAGGGAGCAGTGATTTGGTGAATAACGTAAACAAGATTGAAAAAACAATGGTTTACTTGTGTACTTCCTCACATTTCCTGCCCTTAAATCTGGGAATATCGCCATATACTTTTGACCCCACCCACAATTACGAAGCACGCAGTGTCACATTACCCCATTTTTGTAATTACTGTCGTTTTGTGGGTGCCACTTTCGCTCCGTGTGGATTGTATCTCATTGCCTAAATAAATCCGGGGACTCACCCAGCCTAATAATACATTTCATTTATTTTATGCATGTACATACTAAAACTAAATGTATAAATAAATAATAAGAAAAAACCAGGATTATTTGCTTACCGCATAGAAACAATTACCCATTATAGAACTTGCGTGCTTTCGTAGATACCTTTTGCGCATGCATCACCCTCCAACTGACTGCGTTGCTACAATGCCGTAATTTTTATGGAAAATTAATTAATTTTTATAAGAAGGCAACATCAATCTCTGAAATCCGAACATAATTGGCAACGCCGAGCTAAGTAATTACCATTGTCGCAGAACAGTCTGTGCCCTGCGTCATTGCTGTTTTCATTTTTGATGTTATATATCGTACTCATAAACTTGCATAATTGCTGCATAATGTGCTTTCAATACTTTGTTCCTTCACAAAATTACAGCAAATGTGGGCAAATGAGGACCTAATGAGAATCTTAAAGAAACAGTTATGCCTATATATTTGACATTTAACAAACAGTTAAGCTACGAGTTGAATTTTCATTGAAACAAGTATACTAATACTTGTTTCATGTGCGATATCTAACATCTCAAAGTTATTTCAGTGGAGGTTAATCCTATGAGTTTATGAAAACTACCCCTTGGCGCCGATTTACAAAAAAAAATAGCTTACATAAAAAAAATACATGTAGAAATTGCATCGTATCTACAGAATTACACTGACGCCGACGTGGGTGCTGCAATTCTGCACTGCTTTTCCAGATCTTAACCCCTTTTTGCCTGAAAATTCAATATGAAAAATACTGCCGTGAAAATGCCGCATCCAAACATAGATCTGTCAGCGGCCATGTTGTTTGTTGAAAGCCGCATGGTCTTATGGGTCCTACCTCAGAATTTGTCATTAGAGCTGCCATTGGATTGAAGAGGGAATTTTAATTCTCGAGCATGTGCAAGTTGAATGGACCTTTTAAAAAAAAAATTACATAGTTGCTGTCTAGTAGGTATATGGTAATACCCGTATGAAGCAAATTGTTTTCTAGATAATGCGTCCCACCAAACTCCAAAATGTAAGTTGATTAAAACAATAAAAAAACAGGTGCCGCCATCTCTATTGTCAGGCTTTGGGGAATGACAATAAATCTTGTGCTATGCGAACTTGTCCAAACTCGTAAAAAGGTAATTGTTTGAAACAGACCCGCCACTTCCATAAACACACTTGGTTTTCTTTATATTTAAGCGTAGACCCATTTATTGGCTATGGCCTGTTACCGCTAAGAAAAGTAGCTGTAAATCATCCTTATCTGTTGCTAGTAAGAACGCGTCGTCAGCTTATCTTAAATTGTTGCAATTTGCAATTACACCCTCTGTTCTTTCTTCGACGGTTTTTCTGAAGATTTAAAGATTTTTCTGCATATGAATTCAACCTAAGGAGGGGGGGGGGGTGAACACACGTCCTTGTCGAACTCCTCTCAGAATAGACACTTCTTCAGATGTCTGGCCCTTAAGTCTTATTATAATCTATCATGCTGAGCAATGTCGAATTTCTTTTCGTAATCTACGGAGCAGGAACGTCCATATCTAGACATCGGTGTATGAGAACCTGGTATGTATATGTATATGTATATTAGGGAGTAAATGATTTTCAGTACACTGCTCATTAACTTGATCGTTCTATAATCTTTGCGATACCTGCAGTTTTCTTTGTCAGAGCCAATCTTTAGGAATTATTCTTGTTTTGTATATGCAGTTTAGCAAACTTAACAGAAATGTGAAAGCGCTATCTTCCTCCAACTTTTTTAAGACCTTTATCTGTGTTTCATTTATTTCTGGCGTCTTTCCATTTTTTACACATATAGCGTGTATGGGTTCTGATTTTCTTGTACATATTGAACGAGCTATGCTTGGCTTTTAACTGCTCTATTTCGTTGCACTGTCCTGTTAACCAATTTTCTTTCCCTTGTCTAATCTTAGCCCTAATTTCTTTGTGTGATCTTTTTATATGATCTAAGGCAGTCATTTAGTCAGGCAGTCGCTTAGTTTTGGTACTTTTAAGCTTAAGTTGACTAACCTCTGCTACGGATGTTTTATTCTGTCTCCAATCTCCTCTTTGATATGTTAAAATTGCATGGTTTTAACAAAGTGATACCTTTGAATTATGATATTTAGATGCGTTTGTAAACATTGAAAGCTTGTGGGTCCCTTTCATGTCGTTTTGATTAAAAATTTGAATAACCGCATTAACCGAAGGTGCGTTTAATGAACGTATACCGTTAAAATTCACCGGTAATTCCATATTTGTTCGCGTCCACACGCCCATTTCGCATTTATGTCATCAGTTACGCTCAGGATCTGAAGCAGCTACCAGCTAGCTACCGAGTTACGCCTAAGTGGAATTGGCCTTGGCGTTATTCATAGAAATTCCAGAGGCGTCAAGATGTCTTTTATTACGGCTATTTTGTAAAGACGCGATAGGCATCGTACGTCAAGAAGGTAGACCGTGGAGAATGTTAAATCTCGGGCCTATGATTACGAAATAACCGTGCATATTCATAAATAAATAATCAACAAATCGCCGTGAAGATAATAACAGAATATCGCAGCGGACAGAGGAAATTAAACGTGCAAATATTACGCGACATTGGCTGGTTCGAAGTGCTACTTACCCGTAATTGACCGTTACATTTTAATCTGCGATTCGTTTCAAATTTGACATTGCCAGTCGAGGCTCTGAAATCGCCAGGAAATCAATCCTTATTCTTATAATGAAAACGCATTTTTTTATACTAAGAAGATCTAATACTTACATGGATCAAAAATAACGTCGTCCAGCTTCTTTGTCGTCAAATATTTCTCAAATTTTTTATTTTTCAAATTTTAACGCATTTTACAATCCAAGCGACTCTATTAGAAGAATATATTTTATACCTTGAACCATTACAATTTAGACGAA